ACAACATCTGAGATCTCTGTCCAGAAGAGTGCAGTGCTAGGAACAGCTAAGATACTGCGCAGGACCCTCAAGCTCCCAGGCCTCTGGTAGTGGACCAGAGCTTGAAGGAAAGAAGGAAAGATCATCCTGAAGTGGGGAATTTATATATATTTAAATGGAAAAAAGTACATAGGCTCAGTAGTACAAACATTGTGATATGTGACAAGCAAATATTACCGGTTCAAGTAGTGAAGAAGTAAATGAGGTGAAAGAAATGCAGTATTCTTCACTAGATGAGCAGAAATTTTGGAAGGTATTTCGTTGCCAAGCCTAGTCTTGTTTCTAACTTGCTACTGAAATACAGAAAACACTTCACTCAACACTCAACTGCTTTTGAAGGGAAAACAAGGAAAATGTTTTTTATTGTTAGTCACCTGGCAGCAGCTCTCTCATTTAAACACAGGGTGAAAATACAAGTACAAAGGCAAGTTCCACTTGAAGGCAATATAAGACACAAAAAAAAGACAAAAGCAAAAAAAAGATGGAGATGCTTTTTAGACTGAAAGTTTGGATTCAAAGAGGTGGTGTGATTTCAGTGCAAAGGTCACATGAGGTTTTATGTTTCAACTCTGATCCATTCAAAATGGGAAGGGTGGGAGAGCGGGTTGTCTTGGCCTACCTGTGTCCCCCCACACTGGCAGGTACTCGTCCTGCTGTATGTCCAGCATGATCTCTAGGCCGTTTCCCGTCCCTCCCTTCATGGTGGTGCGGAGCATCTTCCCTTCCTCTGCAGCATTGAACATGTAGCACTTCCCATACCTGGTGAACACCTGAGAGGAGACAAAGAGAGAGAAAAAGGACTGATGAGTGAATGCTGATACACAAACAGACACACTGCAAAGATCACACTGCATTACTAACTGCACTTTGATGGAGCAATTTACAGCTAGACAGTAGACACGCTTTTAGTCAAGAGCATTCATTTAGGAATAAAACGTACATGCATAATGATGAGCTACAAGATGTTTTCTCACATTATCAGGTTTGAAGAACACCATATTAGCCTTTCAAACTAAATAACACACCAACAGCAAAACATTATCCATCTGTGTTGCCTTCTCTTGAATGAAATCTCTGAATCACTGACAGTTTTTACTCCATTTCACTCCTTTTATTTACAATCCCTGTGGAACTTGAATACGTCACATTCTGTAATAACAAAAATGTCCTGTAATTATTTGGATTTTGGTGTGTATGACAATACATGCAGCGTGTCTGAGAAACATACTCTTTCATTCTCATATTATCAAGCTTTCTTTCTGCAGGAGCCTTCAGCCTTTGAATTGTGTACAACTGTTATTACTACAACAAAGTCAAAGAAAGTATGTGAAATTAAAGTTTATTTATACAGCACCTTTAGAGATCAGATATCACAAAGTGCCTCACAGTAAAGGAAAAACAAAGCAACTACTGTAAACACGATATAAGCACAATAAATAAAACTGTGCAAAGACAGTTAGGCAGATCTAAAAAGATGGGCGTTGAGCTGCTTTTTACAGAGATCCATAGCGTCTCCAGAACTCAAGTCCAACAGGAGAGACTTCCAAAGTTTATTACCTTCAAAGGTACAGTCTCCTCAAGTTTTGAGTCTGGAGCGAGGAACAACCAAGGAACCTGAGCAGAAGACATTAGAGACCTACTGGTTGCAACGTGCCTGACCATGCAGGGCCCTAAAACTAATCACATGAGCCTTCAATTGAATTTGGAATGTGATGGATAGCCAGTGTAAAGCGATCAGGATTGGTTTTACATGAGACATTTTTAATGACGTAGTCAAGAGCTTATAGTATCAAAAAAATGGTTTTTGTCCATTATTTGAGACGAGATGAACTAGATCTGGCATCGCAGAACATATTGTTAAAAGTTAATAAGAGTTCCTCTAAGTACAGATACTTCTACCTAGCACTGAGTGTTGAGTGGATTCCCACAGTCACTCACAGCCACTGCCATGTGCACTTAACAAAACAAATGCAGCTATTCATCCAGGAAGAGGGATTAATCAACAGAGCTAATCGTGCTTTAATCAGGGCCACTTTATCCAAAGGAGAAATTCGGTAACTCTAAATTGCTCGTAGGAGTGAATGCGGGTGATTGTCTGTCTCTAAGTGCCAGCCCTGTGATAGACTGGCGACCCGTCCAGGGTGGACCCCACCTCTCGTCCAGTGTCAGCTGGGACTGGCTCCAGCCCCCCATGACCCTCTTCAGGATAAGCGGTATAGATAATGGGTGGATGGATAGAAATTCAGTATTAATTAAAAATTGATAATAATAAATAAAATAAAAACTCTTGGTGAGATGGAATAACTAAGCTTTAAATGTCAGCAAGTTAAGGAGCTCAGATTAAATGGCAAATCAATTAAAACACAATTAAAACATTTTATGAAAAGTAAATCAATTGAATCAACATCTAAAATTAAAACAAGGTTCAGAGTATAGATAAATCACTGTATTATTAATAAAATTCATGGCAGAATAGTTCACAGTCATCATCAGCCAGGTAAAGGCAAAAACCTGCGGAGCCCACAGAAACGAGCAACAGGTGAAAAGGCCCAAGGTAACCACTACCCACTACCACCACTGCCACATCACCAAGAGCCACCGAACCGCTACTTATGCATAATAGATTGAGTTAAAATTACACACTGCAGCTTGTGTGTGTGTGAGTGTGTAACACAAGCAACCATGTAAATGAGACTGTAGCTGTGAGATCTCCAGGCATGAATAGTCATCATCATAACAACTGTCCACTTTAATGCTGCAATGAGCGATTGCAAGGAAGTGACTGATGGCCATGGGCGGCGATGGGCTCTGGATCCCTGTCAGCAAATTTAATATTCAAACGTCAGTATAATCTCCCGGAACGAAGTATACATTACAATCTATGATCCTTTACATTACAACCTCTGTCCTACCTATACTAATTCTGTCTCACATTGTTAACTGTTGGACATTTACAATGGCTGTGATGCAGTGTTGCAATTTAATTTGATCATTACACTTCAACTGCATTTACACCAGATATTAACATCACATTTACACTCAGTTCCCAGTGCAATAGGTACACCTACATGCACATAATTAACGCCAAATAATACAACGGTCCCTTAGAAAATTTAATTAACGCCAAATAATACAACGGTCCCATAGTAAATCCTCACTTCATGAAGGTGACACTTTTGTTTTTGTTTTTTGCTGAAAGTGTTTCAGAGAGGTGCTGATTCAGTTTTTTTGTTGTTGAGTTGTATCACATTATAGCAGTGAGAAGACTTTCTAACATTTTGTCCATCATTTTTAAATCAACAAGGACACAGTAAATATTACAAACACTTCTCATTATAAGTCAGCAGACTTGAACAAACACCACAACCCGCAGCCTCCAAAACAATCATACAGTTGATTCAACACCTCCCTGAAACACTTTAAACAAAAACCTAACATTACAAGCTTTGTAAAGAGAGGATTTATTGCAGGATAGTTGTATCGCACTGCATTAGATCTATCTAGGCATACCTAATTAAGTGGAAACATTGTTTATATCCTCTTATGTGGATGAGGAAAAATGTATTTTAATTTAAAAAAATGTGTAAATGGATTCAGTGCAATCAGAGTGTGATTAGATGGACTACATTTGGGGCAGTCTGGCTCATCTGGCAATCAGCTCTCAACCTGGTATAAATGACATCTGGACAATTTGGCAACATTCTGAAGAAAGAAATGTGCCAACAATTGACAGGTCCCTTAATTCCACAAGCTATTTCCTCACAACCTGCCTGTCAAAAAGCTGCAGACAAGCCCCTTTGTCTTAGGGGAAAAAGATGTAGTGCCTGTACAGCTGCATTTTTTTTTTTGGAAGACTATTGTGAGAGCACTATGAGCCAAGGCAGGACTGCCGCCAACGAGCTTATCTAAGCTATTTACTGTAATGTTAGCTGAGTTACAAATTCTAATTCCATTTCTAGCTAGGTTTCCATCCATATGTTGTGTAAATTATAACTAAATTTCAAGAGAATTGGCAAAAAAAAACCAAACAAACAAAAAAAAAAATCATGGAACAATCTTGCATTTTCTTCAGTCAAACTTCAAACAATATAAAAAAGATTTTAAAAAATAGGAAAATTATGTTTTGTAATAATTTGAGGACTCCATCAGTCCACACAGATCTGCTGTTTTTATCTGCTGGTACTTTTTGTCTCTTCGATGGACATTCAAGATGTGCCTCATGTACATCAAAATCTATTATCACTCAGTCTGTTTTCACTGCATTTTGTCATCTTTTACTTTTAGAGATACCCCAACCTTTCTACCTCAATCAAGCATAAAAACTTTTTGTGATATTTTGAGATTTTTTTTTCCCCTTTTCAGCCCTTTTACACTCAGAACTGAAAATGCACATAAAAACAAATGGATGGAAACCCACCTTCTGCCCCTTTACTTCACACTTGCATCACAGCAGCCCCTCAAGAGTACCTCATATCCATTAGCTCTGCTTAACTAACTTGACACTGAGATCTGATGATGAGGAGGAGAGAATGATAATGCTCATTAACACCACTTGTAATGCAAAGGCATGTGATCCTATGTCATTAACCTCTAGATGGAGTTAATCATCTTCTCCATTTCCTAGAATGACAGAGAATCACACAGTACTGACATCAGGTGAGAGTTAATGGAATTACCACTTTCTGATTAATAAATACCAGCTGGGTCAACATATTAATTATGACTCAAAAACTCAGATTTCACCAGTAAATCAATTACTGCTGTCTGTTATTCGAGGTAAGTAGATGCCAGAGGTGGGGGAACTCGAGTCACATGACTTGCCTCAGACTTAAGCCTGACATGAGGACTTGAGACTTGCTTGACTAACACTGGAAAAAGACTTGCCTTGACATTGACTTGGTATTCATGACTTGAAACTTCACTAAGAATTGCGGCTATGGAGGAGCCTAGTGCAAAAATAATAACATTCAGATTCAAGGATTACATTGCTGATGATGGAGGTGAGAATAAAACAGCAGTAAGAAAGGTAAGTATGTGAACGTGTACGTTAGCTAACTTGGCTGGTCAAATGCTAGCTAGAAAGCTAATGTTAACTTTAAGCTGTTAGACTTGTCTTTGAATTAATAAGGCATTTTACATAGAAGAGTTTCTGATAGCCATGAAAGGCTTGACTTTTTTATTTAATAGCTAAAAGTTAGTTTGTAGCCTATGAATGCACAATTCATGATCAGGTTTTTGAATGTTTTACTTTAATAATTGATATTCCCCTAAGATTATCAGATCATCAAAATTTTGTGTGACAACTTGCTTGATTCTTACAGTAGTAACTTGGAACTTCCTTGAGACTTGCACATATGTGACTTTGATGCAAACTCAGGTGGTGCTATATCTAGCTTTACATGGGCAACTCAGCAATCATTCAACAGTCCTGAGTTGACCAATGATGAAAAGACTCTCAGGTTGCAAACGTCGGGATATTTGCCATCAAACATGATTTTAACAAAGCAGAAGACTTGTTGTTGTGTTTTATGTGTAAACAAAGAGATAAGTTTTGATTGTGATCATTATAATTATGCATTACTAAAGATCAAGAGGCAATCCATCTGACAAAGTTCAAGGCACTTAAAAAATCATCTCATGTTTTTTACTCTGCTGCATTGTGGCCCATCAAGGCTACTATTAGTGGAGGTTAATGTTTTCCTCTTTTTCTTCTGTATTAAATGGTCTCCACTGATTGTTCAAGACTGGTGCAAAATTCTGAGCCAAGAGA